CCCCTCCCCAACCCCGAGAGAGGAAGAGAGGCACTGGCTGATGAGGTGCATACAGAGTCGATGGATGCATCCAGACTACACATCGCAAAGCAGCAAGAGACGGAGCAAGACGAGCAGGCAAGGGTGATCCACCAGCGCGTGTTGGATCTCGTCACCAACTGGGCAAATTATGTACGTCCCCCAACACACCCCAGCCGCTCAGAAAGTGATAGTGTGCTAACCACGATGACACGCAGACCACATCCGTCTCGCACGCATTCATCCTGCTCGACACGCAACTCGCCACACTCGAGCGCCAACTCACACATCTCGAACGCTCCTAACCCGAATACCATTAACCGATTCAATCGCCATTCGACGGCGCCACACTCTCCGCATCCGTGTCCAAGAGCGAGTATTCTACACCCCCACGACACCACTCGTCAGCCTCTTTTCTGTTCATCTTTGCGGATGGGTAACGGGACTTACGTTTCTGGAGGATGCACTCGCCACCGTGTTCGAGGTCGATGTTGTACTGGTAGAAGTATCCCTCGCTGGTAACCACCATGACGTGCGGTGTGGTCGCGCTGAGTGCCACCACGCTGCTCACACCGGGCGTGGGCAGTTTGAGGAAGGCAAAGTCGCGCGCGGGTTCCCACATCTCGGTCAGGCTGTTGGGGAGGTACCCCCCTACGCTGCCGGTGATGCCTTTGCCCAGCGCCATGCTTCGACGCCGCAAACTGCCGCCTAGCCCTCCGCCTTGCTTGGGCCGAGCCATCATCGCTTCGTACCCGCCCACACGCCCTCCGTTCGCCGACCCAGGCGGAGAAGACGTATCCGACGCCCCATCCGACCCCACCACCATCGCCGACTTGCTACCCGAGGACGAGGCGAGCTTGAAGATGTGCACCGTCTCCGTGTCCGAGGAGACGGCGAGGAGCGAGGAGACCGCGTTGAAGTTGATGCTGTAGATGCGCGCCGCGTAGCTGCCGCGGCGGAACTGGTGCAGCTTGTGTGCGGCCGGCACGCTGAATACGCGAATCACCGTGCCTTTATCGCTAGCGGTGGCGAGAAGCGTTCCGGTGGCGTTGAGTGCTAGTGCCGAGATGGGCGTCTTGTGCGCCTGGATCACGTTCGTCACACTCAGCGAGAGCAGATCAAAGATGAGCACGTCCCCCGCGCCACCTCCGCCGCCACCCGCTGTTGCCGCTCCACTCGCCGCTGCCGCGCCTGCACCCGCTGCAAACGGACTCGTCGGTGAAGGCACCGGACTCGGATACGCCAAAAAGCAATTCTCGGAGCTGGGCGACAGTGCGCAAATCGCATTCGGGTTGGGACTCGTCTCGATGGTATGGAGCAGCTTCATGTTGGAGATGTCGTAGATGTAGATCTCGTTCTCGAGCACCACCACCAGACGTCTTCGGTTGAGTTTGACCCCAAGGATGGCGGTGGGAAACAGCAGTTCGCAGATCACGCTCTGTCGTTTCGTGTTGACGATCTGCAGCCGGCGTGGGCTGGCGTTCGACTTGGCATCCGCGTCCGACGTGGCGACGAGCGCAACGAGCGACGTGCAGAAGAGCATCTCCACCAGCGACGTCGCGCCGGACTGGTTGGTGTACACGCGGCCAAACGGCTCGCAGTTGGTGATCGAGTAGCCATCGCGCGTGCCCACCGCGATGCACGAGTGGTCCTGGTTGAAGTTGACCGAGAGCAGCGCGTTCGATGCGCGCGCCGGTGCGGATGTCATTGTGGGCTGCGTGCGCTTTCGGTGATGGAGGATGGAGGGGGGAAGTGGAGTTGCGGATGCGGATGGAGGTGGCCGGGGCTGCTGAGCCTTGGGGCAAAAGAGTGGGCTCGTGCTCGCCTTGTTGCGTGTGCATTTCCGCCCCCGAATGCGTGCACCGCATCGCGTCGGCCATCGGCTCGAATCGGCCAGATCCACAATCTAACACGCTCGAAAATCGGCGCAAGTGGACGTGTTGGTCTTTTGCTCCCTCTCTCGCTGCGTTGCTTCTTGTCTTCTCGCCACATGGTGTGGGGGCGGAGGCTCAACCATGGCATCGGCTCGCATCACGTTTGACGACTTCCAACGTGAATGTTTCGCCTACCTCGCCCAACGCGATGCGCTCTCCATGCCCCAGAAGCAGCACGAGCTGTCGTGGGCGTCGTACGCACACGGCTGGACATGGCAAGACCCCCTCCTTCCCGGCACCGCCTTTACCGGCACCGCAGGCCTACATCGATCCTACGCCATCATCGCCCGTCAAAACTGCACTACAGAGGAGAAGCATGCGCCTGAAGACGAGGTGTGTGCTTCTGCGCAGCTGGCAGACGAGACGGACGATGCCACATTCACCCCGACGACGACGCGCAGAGTGATACAGCTCGAACAGTCGATCCACTGGTCGTCGGTGTGGAGTCTTCCCGTGCTCTACTTTCACGCTACACTCAACGATCGTCCTATCGGATGGGATGATCTGCAGGGTTGCGGTGTGGTTCACGCCGCGGGGACGCTCGCTCCGCATCTGGGCGAGGCGTTGCAGCCCGTCTCGGTGGGAGACCATCCGCGATCGAAGCTGCCGAGCTTTTACCTGCATCCGTGCAACACCAATTCGGCGTTATCTTCGCTCCTCGCGGGGGATAAGCACGCGCCGTATGTGGCGAGCTTCGTGGCGCTGTGCGCGTCGGCTGTCCATATGCGTCCGCCTTGATCTCGCCCACGCTTGCCCGACAAAGCGCCACAGCACCAGAGCAGATCTTGAGTGCTAGTGAGCGAGCCGGTATCCTAAGAAAGACCAGCCCGATGGTCGGGAGACAAATGTCCGCAGTCGGAACGAACAGCATTGGTCGCCAAGGCGCAGGCCGGGATAATGTCCAGCAAGACACTGCAGGCGGGATGGAGTGTGCAGTCGAACTGGGCGAGCCGTTGCGCATCCAGCTCGACTGCATCCTCGTCCGGGTGAGGCTACAACCCGGTCGAGTGGGGGGCAGCCAAACACCTGTTCCACCCCCCCGGGGGATCTACTTCTTTTCACAACTCCAAAAGCTAGCCACTCGAGCACCATCAATTGTTGACATCGGTGTGAATATCGCATAGGATGTCACACACAGCCTCGGCAGCCTCCAGTGTCAAGCGTGTGGCTCGACATGAACCCCTCGGTATCAGAATCACATCGGCCATCTAACCCCGATATGTTGCACGCACTAGACGCCAGCTCTGCGTTTGCGTTTGCGCCCGCTCAGCGGTACCGAAGTGCAGGTTTCAGAGGCGCTCATTTTGAGTCCAGGCAATCTCAGCGCCCATGGGCGTAGCACCCTGATGGTGAAAGAGGTGATCGCTGAAGGAGGGTCAGCAGCGCAAACTTCTGCCCCCCTGTCAAGTGGTGATGTGCGGCGGTGGATGTGATGTTGAGAGCCAGCTCTGCGTCGGGGCGACAACTCAACCTCGCATCGCGTCACTTGATCGTTCCAACCCAATCTGCGCCACTTCACACACACACACACACCGCGTCATTGCTAGAAATACAGTTGGGCATTGCGTGCATCACCACAGCACTGAGCGCTTCTTGGTTCCCGCACGTCCGACACTCGCGGTCCACTTATCCGCCTCGACCTCGCCACGCATGCCTTGGGCCAGATCCACCTCCGACGCGCCAAACATCTTGGTAAGGTCCTTGCGTGCTGAGCGCTTGCGCGACCGCACGTCGCTCTCCCAGCTCTCGCACGTCGCCGCACTGACGCTCGCGCTGACGCTCGAAGTCTCGTCGTCCGACAGCTCGATAAACGACTCGTACTTGTGCTGCGCCCGACGCCCGCCGCCCGCAACTCGCGCCGATTTGGGGCTTTCAAACGTCGAAGCCGCAAGCGCTTCCAGCGTCAGAGACGCCCGGCCCGCACTTTCTGCAGCGCCACCGCCGGAGTTCGCTTCGCTGCTCGACGCGCCGTCGGTACCCGTGATGGAGCTGAGCATCTTGCGCAGACCCAGGCTCGAGCGCGAACGCATCTCGTCCCGCGCTCCGGGCAACAGCGTCGCAACCTTGCCCCGCGGCGACGCACAAGCAGCCCCCGCCTCGGACGACGACGCCAGCGAGGCAAAGCTCGGTCGGCGCATGTCCATCGATGGCCGCGTACCCACGATGCGGTCCTTCCATGCTGCGGGCAGCTCAGCAGCCGCCGAAGCCGCCGACGACGAAACGCGCGATCGGTCCGACTCGCGGCCCGACGCCTTGCGCATGCGGCCCAGCACGTTGGGCAGCGACGACTCGCTCGTCTTGCGCTCCATGCTCGCCGATCCCTCCTCCCTCGATGCGCGTCCCAGTCGACGGCCCGACAGCTTGCCCTTGAGCGTCATCGCCGGCTTGGCCAGCTGGGCTGCAGCACCGGCCAACGGCAGAGTCTCGACGCCCAATCGCTTCTGTGCCGCTCCCGGATACGCGGGCACGTCGCGCGCACACATCAACGCAGCCGCCGTCACCTCGGGACTGGGCGGCACAATCTCGCCCAGGCCAGGCAGCACGGTGGTGCCGTCCTTCTTGAGGATGCGCTTGTGCAGTGGCACCGGCTCCACCCTGAACGCGCGCTCGTCCGCCGACGCCTCGGGCGTCGCTTCGTCGTCGCGCGCCGCCATCCAGTCGCCAAGCAGACGCTCGGGGAACTCTTCGCGCATCTGCGTGTCCTTGGGCGCTGCAGCGACCATGGCCTCGAGGCTGCCGTGGCGCGCGGGCGGCTTGGGCAGGTGTGTGCCCTCCTTGCGGCGGTTCGCCTGGCGCAGCACGCGCGCCGACTCCCTCGACGAGCGCGGCTTGTCGCCCTCCTCCACCGGTGCGCTTTGCGGCAACGGCGGCAGCGGCATGGCGCTCATGCGCACAGGGCTGCGCGGCTGCGGCGCGTCGGCGTACTGCGAAGGCTGGGGCGTCTCGCACGCCTCTTGGGGCAGCGGTGGCAGCGGCATGGCGTTGAGACGCAGAGGGCTGCGCGGCGGCTTGTTGGGCGCCTTGTCGTGCGTGTAGCTGCTGGCGACCGACGAACGACGTGTGCTGACTCCGGCATCCGCCGAACCGCCTCGCGCCATGCCGGGCGCAGCGAGGTGCGCGTTGAAGAGCAGGCTGGATGCGTGCGAAGCCGTCGAGACATCGGCCGAGGCGGTCGAGGCGGTCGAGAGGTAGCTTGCCGCCGATGCGCGTCGCGGATACGGCGAGGTGCTCCTAGGCTCGTCGCTTAGCGCGCCGTGACCCATGTCGGCCATGGGGCTCATCGAGGCATCGTACGTGTCGTCGCCAAACAGCGCCGCTGCGCCTGCCTGGGTGCTGCTAAAGTCGCCCACCGAGGGCACGCCCCGCAACGTGGTAGCTGGGACGCAGGGGATCAGGAGGCTGCTCCTGCGATCGGGCATGGGTGGGAGGGCTTGAGAGAGCTGGTGGTCGCGCGTGTCGTGCGAGATGGTGTGGAGCGTTCGGATGCATGCCTCGTGCATGGCGACCTGCTCGAGGAGCGAGTCGGCCGACTTGTTGGGCTCGTGCTCTGGAGCGCCGGGCAGGAGGAGCGAGGCGTCCTGGATGCCCAGGCCCATGATCTCGACGGGCCCGGGCGCAGTGAGGTCCATGGGCGAGAGGAGAGGGCTGCCATCGGGCGTCGAAAATTCCTCATCGACAGAAGGGCGAAGGGAGCCGTCGAGATCGTACTCGTCATCGTCCTCGTCGCTGCTGCAGCGAGCCAGCTCCTCCTCGAGCCAGGTGGCCTCGTCGTTGAGCGTGGGGCTGTCGGGCTTGGAGAGCTTGGAGTGATACTCGCGCTTGCGGCTGGCGTGGACGGGGACGGCAAGATCGGAGATCGAGATGGGCTGGCGAAAGTCGATGGTGCGAGGCACGCCGTAGTTGCCGCTGATGAAGCAATGCCAGTCGATCGAGCCGTCGTCCGAGAGGCATGGCGAGACCTGAAAAGTGACGTGAGCGTTGGCGAGCGGAGTCCTGGCGCCCGAGCGCGAGATGCGACGCGAAGGAGCGAGTTTGTTGGCACGGATGGTCTCTGTGGAGGAGCAGAGGCGAAGGTGCATGCTTTCTTCGGCGATGCTGTGCATGAGGTGTGCGTTGGCACGGTTGGCTCGGACGGGATGCGCGAGCGTCTTGCTGCGCGGACGGTTGGCTTCGAGCTTTGCGGTGAGCTCGTCGAGCTCGGCAAAGGAGGAAGTGCGGATGGTGGGAGGGTTGACGAGCTCGTGCGTAGGCTTGGCGGTGGCGGTGGCGGCGACGTCTTGTGCGAGGTAGGGGTCGAGGACGCTGACGTCGCTTCGTGCACGGCGGTGGACGGGGGTGGCGACGCTGATGCGACGAGCTGTGGCGATGGTGGCGATGAGCTCTTCCGAGTCGCCTTCTAATGATGCTGCAGACGTCGACGGAGATGCATCGTCGAAGGCAGAGACGGAGGAGAGTGCCGACTTGCGAGCGCGGCGCTGAGCTGTGTTTGTCGAAGACGACGAAGAGGCCAAGTCGGCCTGGAAGGCCTTGGCGCGGTCGGCGACGCTGAGGGCGCCGACCATGGAGCCACGCTTGGTGTGAGTCTTGGTGGTCATTTTGGAGGAGGTTGGTTGCGAGGCGGAGAGAGGGAAGCGAGAAGGGCCGGCGTCGGCTCTTGGTGTTGTCTGCGGCGAAGATTCGACGGCGACGAGGGGCATACTCTGTGAGACGGTGAGCGAGCCAAGAGGGGCGAGATGCGAGATGTCGAGGTAAGACGCGGAACACGCGGCGATGATAGGAGCAAAGGAGACGGTGGATGCTCTGGAAGATCTTCGCGAGACCGAGGAGGACCTTGGACGGATGCTTGGATGGGAGTCGAGGTCGAGGGTTCGGGTGCGGCGGCGTCGGATGGTGGCAATATATGCCGGCGAGAGCTGAGCCTTTGTTCGAGCTTGAGCGAGTGGCTGGGACGAGGCTGTGTGGGAGTGAACGTTTGCAGCGAGGGTCGGAGTGTGTACCGCAAAGGGATGAATCGAAGCGTCAGCATCAGCACGGTGGGCAGCCATGATGGTCGCTGTAGCAGTTGGGCCGCCAAGATTGACAGCACGCAGGGCGAAAGGACGGGAAAACTGTGCAGGACTGGCGGACCGAGCGTAGGAGGTGATGCGGGGTCGATCAAGCGAAAAACGGACCGAGCGTGGGAAGCCGAGGGGGCCGAGTGAGTCGCGACAATGGGCGTGTCGGGATCGCGAGGACGATGCCGAACGAGCCGAAAGCACAGACTCCAGAGCAGGAACGAGACACGGCGGCTACGGAAGGTTCTGGGCAGTGTATGCGACTGTGGCGTTGCAAGCGAAGGGGCTTGCAAAGGAGGGGCCAGAGAGCAAGCGCCAAGGGGAGCTAGCCACGCAGTGCAGAGATGTGCGAAGCTCGACACGCCGCTGGTGACGAGGATGGCGATGGTAGTCGCAGATCAAGAGCGCGAGGAGCGAAACCGAACAGAAAGACGAAAGGGGCCGGAGAGATGATGGGAAGGCGGCCGTTCATGAGGAAGGGGCGAGTCATATATGGAAAGGTGAGACACGCCGCGAGACACGCCGCTGCAGGGCCGGATGCATGTGATCCATGTGATGGAAGGCAGCAGCTCGGCTACGGGAAGCTTTTGCACACAATGAATGCGCCCAAGCCGCCGCGAGCGTTGCGACCGCCGACGGAGCCCATGAGAGCGATGGAAGCGGTGGAAGCGGTGGAAGCGGTGAAACAGCTCTACGAATCTCTGCGCCACCGCGAGTCGAACGAGCCAACGAATCGCAGCTTTCGACGGCTGCACGCCGGCCACTTTACGCACACACGAGTGGCGTGGGCAAGTTGCGCACCGCTGGCCGTCGCAAGGCCACGGGGCATTGGCCAAGGGGCATTGGCCAAGGGGCATGGGCCCTAGCGATCCAAGCGGCGCGAGGCGTGGCAACGCGAACGCCACCTTGTGCACGAGGTGCAGCTCCGAGGGTCCAATGCGCAAAAGAGCGGTGCCGAGCTGCAGTCCTGGCTGAGCACCGGATCCAAGTTCAAGCGCCGACGACGCCAGAACCGCGGAACGCGCGCATGGATTGGCAGAAAGACCAACTCTGAAACCCGGGCCCTTCTGGCTCTGCATCGGCTCCCCTGCGTTCCGAGGCGCGTGCGTTCGGGACGCGCGTTCTTTCCTCCTGGCCCCCTCTCGATCCATCACAAAGCTCGTCCCCAAAGACAGACGCGGTTTTGTTGGGTGTGGGAGCCAATCGCTGACCGTCGGAAGAGCCGAATGATGGATCCAGGCCCAAGTGTCCAGAGTGCGGTGGCGCTAAAGGCAAAAGCGATTTTTCGCGCTCGGCCAACGTCGAGGCGTGGGGAGCGAAATTCCAACGAAATCGAGCAACCGTCGCGATGAGAAGCTTAAGATCTTGGGCGGCGCTCCAAACTTTGCCGGTCCGCCCGACCGAAATGCCCAAATCTCGAGGGGGTCAAGCCCCGCTCCCTCCCCACCAACCAACGATCGGCCAATGGGGTAGTGACCCGATGAGATCATGGATGCGTCCGGTTGCTCTCTCTGCCCTGCGTGCTGAGGCGGCTGGCTGTGCCAACGTACTTACGTGTTTGTGGTGGTCGCCTGGGTGTGGGAGCTGGAATGGCAGGGAGAGAGCGAGGTGCAAAGGTGAAGAAGATAGCAAGCGGTGCAAAAGGGGTTCCTGCTTGGCGAGTTTCGTCGGATGCTGAGGGATATATGTAGTTGGAGAGCGAGCTCGCAGCTGCAGTGACAATGGCTTGGCCGACGAACGAGCGAGCGATGTGACTTTAGGTGACTTTAGGTGGGGATCGCAGCTGTCAGGGCGGCTAGCCGAGACGGGACGTGCCGACGAATCCTCGCCACCACCGCAGTGGGCAGTGGTACCGCTGCGTCTGGCATGGAAGCGGCATCGCCACAAGCTCACATCCCCCAGGCACGTCGCTTGCATTTCCTCCCAAACCGCGCTTCCAACCGCCCTCTCATGCAGGGCAACTTCGCCCATTCACTTTGCCGCCCGCGACCCTTTTTTTCGATCTGTTTGCGCGAAAAAGAGGACACGCTGGGATGCAGCTGCGATCCGCACCAACATGCATCGCATTGCAAGGAGCTCCCAGCGTGGGCGTCTGTCTCCCTTCGTCCCTTGGCCGCAGAGCGTCCCTGCATCGTCCCTTTCCATGCCTTCCCGACAAATCTTCGAGAACAGCCGCAATTTTGCCTCCTTCATATCGAAGCTCAAGCGCAAAACAAAAGCGCCGTTGGGATAGATGCAAGACTGCAAGCTTGAGTGGGATCGCTTTGCCGCTTGTCAAAGCTCGCCGAGCTTCGTCTGTGAATGTCCGCACCTAGCGATATGGAGATCTACCGTTCTCGCTTGTCGTCGGCAGTGTCAAGCCGGCCACGAGACGGATCAATAGGCTTTCACTGTTTGGTTGTGTGCGATCGCAGCGCCCTAAGCAGCAAGGAGGCTTGCACTCGAGCACGCTAAGTCCTTCCTGCAGCGGCAGCGGAGCTTTCGGATCGTACCTTGATCACCAGACGTTCACACGACGGTCAGGGGAGCTATGACCACGTCGTCATCTCACCCCCAAGACATGGCACTCCGACGCAAGCGCATCAATTTCATGCCTCGCATCATCCTCACTGCGGTATAGCAGCAAGCGATCATCAGGCACACGCCCACAAGCAAAAAGGTGTCGACAGATCCGTCTCGTCTCGCCTCGCCTCGCCAAAGGTTTAGCACGATTGCGAGGGGGAGGCGGGCGACATTGAACTGTGGCGCTGGGATGATGACGCCTGACCTCGAGCCATCGACACGGGGTGTTGTGCGTGGGAACCATGCTGCGAGTAACCATCGCGACGATCAGCGACGGCAGAGAGGATGGAAGGGGGGTGTATCGAGGCGCAAGGGGTTCAGCTCACCTCCTGCTTTTTGGCGGGTGCACCAAGAGAAGGGCGAGCGAGCGCCCAAAAGGCTGGGCGTGGGCGCGCAATCGTCCCGCTCACATGTCGAGGGGAGCACCTCCTGACATCTCGGCTACCGCCCGCTCCGCCTGTCACTCTGGCCAAATTTCCACGCGACACTGCTGTCGCACCCATGCGTGGGAACCTGCAGGTGCCCTACAGCGTGCATCGCGTCGAGCGTCGACTTTCCACCTTGTTAGACCTTGTTTCTCATCTCGCCGACCCCAAATCGGGGGTTGAAGCAGGACTTCCGAGATGCGAGATTCGACGTCCAAAAAATCGGCGAGCGACAAATGTGGAAGAAGCACCAGCGGCTGAAAAAATTCACCTTCCACACGGGCGTTGCTCCTCTCCACCTCTGCCTGCCACCACACAATACACACTCTGCGCTTTGCTCACCACCATCCCTCGCCACCACTGCATCGAGCATTCGCAGTATTCGTCACACCCACCATGCCGGACGCTTTCTTTCAGAAGAAGCGCAAGCGCACTTCCGCCTCGGGTGCAGGCGCTCGCGCCGGACCTTCGCGGTCGAAACCTTCGTCGTCCGCGTCGTCGTCGCGCATGCGCAAACCCAACGCCGACTCGGACGCTGATGACGACGATGTTACAGGAGGTGGGATTGACGACATGGACTTGACGCACAACTACAACGATGCGCCCAACTCGGACGACGAGGCCGAGGCCGCAGAGACTCCTGCCGAGGCACGCGTGCGTCTGGCAAAGATGTACCTCCAGGGCCTCTCGGACTCGCCCGCAGGGGACGACTTCTTCGAGGGCGCAGAGCAGCCGAGCTTCGGGCTCGCAGATGCGGCCCAGGCGGACAGGGACAATATCGCCGCAAGGCTGCAGAAGGATGTTGCTGAGCAGAGCGGCAAGATCCACCTCTTCCTCGCGGACCGCATTGCAGCATCCCCCACAGCCGATGACGCGGAAAGTGGGACCGTGCTTACGGTCAAGGGGCACAGGTTGAGTGTCACCGCGGCCGTGGCGTCGGCGGATGCAAAGTGGCTATTTACGGCGAGTAAGGACGGCAACATTATTCGGTGGCGGATGAGCGATGGTAAGATGGTAAGGGTGCTGCCGAGGCGCGCGCGCGTGCTTGGCGATGACGGCCAACCCGTACCTCCCACCACGGCGAACAGGAGCAAGACTAGCGGTGCAGCAAGAAGGCGTGCACGATTCACCGCCGCCGCTGCTGCGAATGGCGACAAGGGCAAGACGAGCGATTGCGCGGATGCAGCGAGCTACATCAGCGTCGGTGCGGAGCAGGGTCATACGGACGAGATCTGGAGTCTGTCGCTCTCCTCCGACGGGAGCTACCTCGCATCGGGGGGCAAGGATTCGCGCGTGTGTGTCTGGGACACCACCCCGCGCTCCGAGGAGAAGTTCCTCAAGGCGCTCGGAGGGCACAAGGATGCTATCTCGGCGGTGCAGTTCCGCACGGGCTCGCACGAGCTGTACACAGCCTCGCTCGACCGCACGCTCAAACTGTACGACGTGGCGCAGCTGTCGTACATCGAAACCCTCTTTGGCCACCAAGAGTCCGTGCTCTCGCTGTCGTGCCTGGGTGCCGAGACGGCGGTGTCGGCGGGAGGGAGGGATCGAACGTGCAGGTTCTGGAAGATCCGCGACGAGTCGCAACTCGTCTTTCGCGCCGGTGCCAAGTCGAAGCTGCGCGACGTACTTGAAGGCGGTGACCTCGCGCGTCAGGCTCTGTCCGGCGAAGGGGGAAAGATGAGTGCGCCAACCGAGGCGGTGGAGGGATCCGTCGAGGTGGTGGCCATGATTGATCAGAGCCACTTTGTGTCCGGTGGTGACTCGGGCAGTGTTTCGCTATGGAACTTGGGACGCAAGAAGCCGGTGCACAGTGTGCCTGTTGCGCACGGGTTCGAGTTGACCACCAGCGAGAGCGAGGGCGAAATTCGCACGCCGCGATGGATCACCGCTGTTGCAGCACTGCCTTACTCGGACGTCTTTGCGTCGGCGAGTTGGGATGGCAACGTCAGGTTGTGGAAGATCATCGCGCCGGGGGGAAGCATTCGCTCGTTCGAACCGCTGCTGAACGTCAGCGTCCAGGGTGTGGTCAACTCGATCCAGCTCGTCCAACCCCCCCTCTCATCGGTCCGCGTGGCGAGCGACGGCACTCTCGGCACCAACGCCCTAGTGGCGTCCAAGTGGAAGCACGCCAAAGGTGCGGCCGAGACGGAGGGTAAGGCGTTGACGCGCGTCACTGCAACAAAGCAAAACGCGCCACCATTGCTCATCGTCGCAGCCGGCAAGGAACACCGTCTTGGACGCTGGATCAACCTGCCCACCGCCACCAACGCCACGACCATTTTCCCTCTCACCCTCACCCACGCCCAGTAAACCCCCCTCACAATGCCCCGATTCTTTGCAATGCATGTGGATTTCACGAGATGAAGAGCTTGCGTACGTCGTGGAGACTGCATCGCGCGCCGGTGCGCGGACACACGATGGTGGATCCATCGCCCTTATGCACGAGATCCACGATGGTCGACTGCGCATACACGCGTCCATTGGGCAATGCGAGGGGTGGATCGTTATCGTCCATAATGTTGCCGCTCACGCTGCATACGAGGGTGGAGTTTTGGTGATGCGACCACGGCACTTGTCTGGCGAGCACGCCGAGGCCCCTGCCATCGCACACGGGACAGTCGACATTGCCCCCATCCCCCAGGGGGCGACAGCACTGCGGCAGCTTGAGACTCGACAGTCCTGCGCTCAGGGCAATGTGAAGGATCGGTTGGGCGGGGAGACTGTGGATCTGCAGTGCGCAGGCACGGAACGAGTCGCGCAGCATCGCCCATCGCCCTACACTGTACAGATCCGCATATGCCCAACTCCCCGGCGCACAAGCCAGCAACCCGAGTGCACGACTGACTTCCTTTCGGATAGCTTCCGCTGCCAGCCGCTCGTATTCAGCCTCCTCCGATGCTGCTGTGGTGGACTTCGAAGCGGTGACGAGAGGCAGCAGGTGGCGGCGAGCATATGCAATGGCGTCTCGAATGCTCTCCGAGGTGCGCACGCGCGCCAGCTCAATGAACTCCTGCATGCGCAGATTGAACTCGAGCGGCGTGCGGATCTTGCGCAGCGTGGCCTTGTTTTCCGAACACCATGCCAGCGCCGCCGTACAGCTTGGCCTCGTCACGCCCTCCGGTACCTCGTGCGCTGCATGCTGTGTTGCACGATGCCAGTCCGGCGGACAAAGCGAGTCCTCGATCCTTGCGATCTCGTCGAAAAGCTGCACATCCACCAGATCCTGGATGCCCTTCTGTGCTGCATGGGCATGCGCTGCCTCGCGATACCCCCTCCTCAGCATATAATCGACGATCATCCGGTCGAGCCTCGTGCGTGCCCACTCGCCAAACTCGACACTCTCGGCATCGGCCATGGTGTGCAGGTTCGCCAAATGGTCCGTGCGACTCTGCGCCATGCGTAGGCTCGACTTGGCCTGCTCCGAAAGCGGCGCCAGCTTGCGCTTCAGCCCCTTGAGTCGCCCAAGCACAAGGTCGAGCGACTTGTCCACCTCACCGGCGCGCGAACCACCCGGCTTCGTGGCTTCCGAGAATGTCGTGGTGGCATATTGGAGTTCACGCTCGATGAGACGTTGTTGCGTCTTCTGCTGGCGTCGGAGCTCGTCGAAGGGTACTTTGGCGAAGGGCGCTTCGAGCAGCAGGATGCCGTCGAGGTTGAGCGCCGTGCTCGACGAGGTGGCGGCGCGCTCGGGTGAGGCGTCGACAGTCATTGCTTCCGCCATGGTGTTGGAGCAAAAAAAAGGCGGTTGTGGTGATGGAGGGAGATAAAGACGCAAGAGCGGGGATGGTCAGGGTGGACCCTGTCGGCTTGCCCCTGCGCCTGCGCTGGGGGGGGTGTGCGCAGGGCGATTTTTGAACGCGCGCTAAACATGCATGGCGAAATGCACGACTGCCTCGCGCCAAATCGCCCGCCAAATCGCCCTTCAGCGCCGCTCAAATGTGGAGGTGCACCCGCTCAACCTCAGCACGACCTGCAGTCAACTTCGCACGCTCCGTCCATATCGCTGAATGTAAGGGTATTGGATTGGTCTGCGTGGCTAGCACAGCAGTGCAGCGGTGGCGGAAGCGGCTGCGCTGGGCGTCCAAGCCTTGACTGCAATGCCCATATTCTCGCAGGCTGCGCGGCCGACACTCGCCCAGTGCTCGGGCGTATTACCCTGCTCCACCGACTCCTTCCACTGCTTGTCGTTCTTGGCGGTCTTGGGCTCGCCGTAGCCCTTGATGCCGCCGGCATAGATGAAGGCGCTCACGTTGGACTGGTGGCGGAGCGTGTCGAGCACGCCAATGGTCTGCAGCAGCACGTCGTCCAGCCTGCTCTCGGGCACGGGCTTCTTCTTGGCCTTGGCCTCTTCCTCCGCCTCGCTTTTTTCCGTCCCGTCCTTGCTGCCATTGGCAATCGAGAGGTCCGAATCGTACTCGAGCTCCGCACCGCCCTCGTCCTGTTCCTCGACATCGTGTGGTGCGGCGGCGCGCAGACTCTGCCGGATAAAGGCGCGCATCATCTGGGCGTCCTTCTTGCCGAACTCGGGGATGAGCAGATGGTTGTGCGGCTGCAGATGCGCCTTGGCCACGCTGTCGTCGACGAGCACCGTGTTGGCCGCGCTCCACGGACCCAGTGCCTCGGCCTGCTTCGCCGCCTCGAGCGCCGCTGAGATCTGCTTCACCTTGGCATCGAGCTTGGCGCCGTTGGCAGTGGGCGCGGCGGGGGACGACTCGTCCGGCAGGAGCTGGTCGGCTTGATCCCTCGCGTCGGCGAGCAGTCGACCGGGACTGGGCTTGCCGTTGGCCGACGCGTTGAGCTCGGCCCAAACGATCTCGAGGTCCTTGACGCTCTGAGCCTTGTGGTAAAAGTGGCGGCGGGGAACGAGCGTGTCGCGCGCCCACACGCGCAGGATGCTCGCGCGCACCTCGGCGTCGAACGACGCGCGCACCATGCTGTCCACATTGGCGGGCTGGGCTGACGACCACACCACCACATGCGCATTGCCTTGCGATTCGGGTTCGTGCCCATCCTGCCAAAAGTGCGAGCCGTGCGGGCCCTTTCTCGCCTCCTGCGACGCTGCACTGGCGGGCGAGGCGATGTCGGAAGCGGGTGCTTCGTTCGACACGCCCAGGCAGTACTGGAGGAAGCACAGCAAGAACGGCCGCGGGATGGCGCGCACCGAGTCCATGGCGCGGCCATTGCTGCCCTTGGCGCGGAAGACGAGCGTGCCGTTGAGGTCGAGCACCACGAGAAGCTTGCGTTGCGCCGCCTCCTCGTCGGACAGCAGCGTCGATCCGGCAGCCGCCTGGTCTAGATACCCGGTGCGCGGCTCGGCACGGATGGCCGACTTGAGAAGCATGGCTGCAGGCCCACGTGGAGCGCCCATGACTTGCGGTTCGGAGGTCCCACCCGGTGAGCGTGAGCGTCGGTCGTACCTGCGTGCGGGACCGCTGGGAGCGGCTGAAGAGGAATGAAAGTGGCGCTGGTTGGAGCCGAAGCCATTTTCATAGTAGCCCAAAGCGTCCGCTTCATATGCTGCGTGGTGCTGCCATGCATGCTGTGGCGGGTACTCTTGCGGATACGGCTGGGGAGCTTGCTGATAGGAACGGTCTCGCCAGTTGCCGCTGGACGCACCTCGGCCGTGCGCATGGTCGCGCCAATCGTGGGCGTAGGGTTGCCCCCAGCCCTGCGCATAAGGTTGGACCTGCGCCACCGGGTTCGTATACGTGCCGTAGTCTGGGTACGCTGCGTAGTGATCACCTTGTCCATATTGGGGCGCTTGCCATCCGTTCGACTGGCCGTAGGGGTGCTGTTGGTTGTAGTCATAGCCGTGGTATCCTTGATCGTAGCCGTGTGATTGATCATATGGACGTTGCTGCCATTGTGGATGTGGTGTGGTGGTTGTGCTGCCAGACGCCGAGGCGCGAGCAGCCTGGTTCTTGCGGCTGAACTTGCCGCCTCGTTTGGGCATGGTGTTGCGCGTCGATGTAAGAGTGGCGACGGCTCGACCGAATGAAGGGCGGAAGCAAGGCAGCATGCGATGCGCACGCACTCTTTATCTTCGAGTCGTTGCGGAAGCCAAAGGAGGCAACAGAGGCAATGAAGGCAATGAAGGCAATGGAGCTGAATCGGATGGCGGCCGAGCCGAAACGGCGCAGAGAAGAAAGAGGAGCGGCCCCACCAAAAACTTAAACCTTTTCTGGGCCGAGTCCCGAGCGCGTCGGCTTATCTGCCAACTCAGCCGTGTCCACTGTATGCAGCAGGTGGGCAGAGGTGGAGAAAATGCGCGGTCCAGGGTCCTGCTTGCTGCTGCTGCTGGTGTGAAGCGCGTCTTTCACACTCTGATGTCACTCTGAGCCTCTCGCTCTGCATCCGACGCACATCCAGGCTGCCTACGGCTTCAGCTTTGCCTGGCTTTGCTCCTCCATTTGCTCCGCCCTACCCTCAAAGTGCAGGATTGACGCCATGAGGTCGCGCACATCCTCGGGCGAGTCGTCGGACTCGATGCATCGCGCACGCGCATCGGATTCGGACCCGACCTTCTACCGACGTTCCCCCGACTCTACGCCCACACGACGTCGTTCTGCACAGCGTCGAGTTGCGGACGAGCCGAGCATCCTGGGCTCGATCGGAAAGCTGGTGCGGCTGGCACTGCTGGCTCTCGTGCTAGCTATGGTGGTGCCGTACATCAAGACGCGCATGTTTGGATCCACACCCAGCACGGTGGGTAATGCGACGCGCGCAGTCAAGAACCCGTACAGTCATGCCGAGAGTGTCATCGATGCGGTGCAGGCAGCTGCAAAGGAGCCAGACGTGTTTAACTTTAAGCACGAAGACTATCTGCGCCAAGGCGCCCCCGCACGTCCATCCATCGCTGTTCAGCCCAAACCAAAGCCGAGCCACACCTCGAAAGCAATCAAACCACGCCCCACGATCGACGACGAATCAGATGGACCAGGTGTCATTTCGCAAGTCATGACGGTCGTATCTTCAGTCGCATCCCTCTTGGTGACTGCTGTGCGCTTCATTGCGATTCCTTTCAGGCTTTCAGGTAGGGCGGTTGGTTCGGGCGCTGTATGGATCTGGTCGATGTTCAGATTGGCACTGTCGCATGCACTTCGACCATTAGCGTATGCTCTGGCACCACTCAGCTACCTTATTTCGGGCATCCTCTACGTCTTCGTCCACGTTCCTCTGCGTGTGATCACAACGGTTGCAACAGAGCTCTACCCGGTCTACATCTTCCTTGGCGCCGCTTCCGTCGTTGGCATCACCATGGGCATCGTAGCGGCAGCAGTGCTCTACCTCACAGCTTTCATCTTTGTCGACCGCATCCCACCCCAACACAAAGTCGACATCCGAAACCAAGTGCAAAACGACTACTTCAACAGCAACCCCAAACAATCTTACCCACGCAGTCGCTCGGTCTACCCGAACTACTCGCAGCTCAACAACCAAGCCTCCTTCCAGTCCAGCTACGGTTAGCATTCATACCCCCAAGTCACCAATTCTCAGCACCGCATTCCATCCTCTCAATCAGCCAGGCAAAAACCCAAAGTGTGTGAAGAAATCTGGAACTATTGAGATTCACGCACGACACTGAGGGTACTGCTAGTCGTCATCATCCGACTCGGCCTCCTCGTCTTCTTCGTCGTCAATGATGCGCGCACGTCGGCGGCGCAGCGCACTGTCGCCACTGCTGCCCATCTCCCTCGCTTTCATCTCCTCATCGCTGTCGCTACCCTCGTCATCGTCTTTCACCACACGCCCGCGTCCACCCGCGCCCCGCCCCGCGTACTCCACCTCCGAGCCCGTCTCCCTCCCAGAGTCATCCTCGTCGCCCTCGTCGTCCGAGATCTCGATCGCAGACGCCTGCCCACCGCGCCTTGGGCCGGGTAAAAAATCGTCATCCTCCTCCTCTGCCTCCTCCCACTCCTCGGCGTCTTCCGAGCCCGAGTGGTACTCATTGCGCCCGCCGGATCCGAATTGATCATAGTCCGGATGGAAGTAGTCGTTTGCGGGCCCAAAGTCCTCTTCGTCCTCGTCCTCGTACCCGCCATAGTCCGACTCGTCCGCGTCGCGAACGATAAAGTCGTCCATCTCCTCATCGTCGTCGTCGTCCCAGCTCGAGTCCCGGCGGTGCACCCCATCCATGATCGTATGCTCGTCATCCTCGCCCTCTGAGCGCCTGCGCACCGCATCGCCGTCCACATCCTCGGTACCTCCGTGGCGCGCCTCAAACTCGGCGAGGCGTCGTCCAAGCGCATCGTTGCGTCGCGCGCCGCCTCCGTCGCCGTAGCCGTCGTCGTCCTCGCTGTCCATGCCCTCGTACATGTCGTCGTGAGGCAGCCGGAAGTCGTCGTAGTCCGACAGCGAGTCGTAATCGATCTCGCACGAAGGGTTGCTGCACCTTCCGTCGTAGATCTCGCATCCACAGCTGCCGCAGCGCGGCACGCCGTCGACCTCGTCGTAGATGATGCGGCGAGGTCCATCCTCGCTAAAGATGTCCGCCCACAGCTTGGCGCCCTTGGGCAGATCCTCGCCCTTGAGCCGCACCTTGTCGTCTGCCGACAGGATCGCGCTGCTCGACTCGGCCATGTCCGAATCCAGCGGCGCCTCCTTGCTGAGCTTGAGGCCCTCGTCCACCTTTTCGAGCATGTCGCGCACCAGGAACACCTCGACGGGCGGGCATGCGAGCTCGGTGCGGCACGAAGGGCAGATCTTGCGCCGCTTCAGCGTGCGTGCACGCAGGAACGCATCGATCTGCGTCTGCGACCAGCCGGTCGGTGGTGCCGCCTCGCTTTCGAGCGGCTTGGTGAACCAGGCGCGCAGGCAGTGGATGCAAAACACGTGTCCGCACGGCGCCAGCACGCACGGCCGGAACGAGGGCTCGATGCAGATGTGGCAGATGCACTGGCCGTGGAGCTCTTTGAGGATGGTGTGCTGCTGGCTGATGACGCCGGCGCCTTGCTCCATTTGCGTCTTGGTCTCGGCGAGCTGCATCTCGAGCTGGCGGATGCGCAGCTGGAGCGAGACGGTGTCTGCTGCATTGGAGCGCGCGCCCTCGGTGGTCGGATGATTGGACTTGGAGGAGCTGCTCGAGTCGGCGCGGCTGCGCTTGCGCGACGATGCAGTCGACTTTGAGGCGTCCTTTGAAGCGTCACCCTCGTGAGAGTTGCCGGCGTCGCTGCGTTTGCCGGTGGAAGCCACGGCAGCGCTGGTGGTCTCTTTCTTTGTGTCCTTGTCGCCTTGATCGCCTTCGTCGTCATCGTCAAACAGCTGACGCGCCAGATCCATTGACTGTTTTGTTGCTGTTGAGGCGGCAGAGGAGGACTTGCCGGAGCGTTTGGTCTCAGAATTCTTGGTGCTTGACGCAGCCGCCTGTGCTTTGCGGCGCGTGGGCTTCGTCACCTCGATCACATTGCTGTCCGAGTCATTGGAGTCGTGGTCGATGCTGTTGCTCGCTGCTGGCGGCGGCGGCGTGTGCTCCTGGGTTTGAGTGGTAGAGGCTTTGCTGGACGCATTCTGCTTGGTCGATGGTGAGGCATCCTTGCCCGGGCTGCGTCGGGTACGGACCTTGCGGCGTGCTTCGTCTGAGAGCGGAGGCGTGACAGCGTCGCGATTGATGCTCGACCTTCTTTCGCGCTTGACACGGCTGTGTGATTTGGTGGTCGACGACGAGGCCTCGGGGGCGTCATCATCAGAGACGACGATGGCCGCCTTGCGCCTTCGCGAGCGCGCCGAGGCTGCGTTTTCCTCCATCGTGGATTTGCCGTATCACCGAGTCTGATATGGTGGTGAGCCTTGGTCCAGGTCAAAAGGTCGATGCCACGCAAAGCTAGGGTGGGATCGGATTGACTTCGATGGGGGATGGATTGGTGGGAAGGGAAGGGAAGATGGGCAGCGGCTTGATGGAGGAGCTGAAGCGCTTGCTTGGGCTCAGGAGCCAGCGGTGGGCTGATGTTGAGTTGCTGAGGCGAGAGAGGAATGGGATGAGCGGCGAGAGGCAGGTCGGTGGGGCTGAGCCGGACAGAGAGAGGCAAAGAGCTGGGGTCGAATGCACCGGACTTGCAGCCGCCTGCAGCTGCTGAGATGAGGCGGAAGAGCCGACGCTGGACCAAAGCTACAAAGCTTTCCAGCTCGAAACGAGCTGCTGATGCTGCTGCTGCTGCTGCTGCTGCTGCTGCTGCTGC